AAATGTGTAGAATAGTGTTATTAGTTAAATTTGGTTAACTCACATGAAATGCTCAATTCATTCTATGCCGAATGTAGATAGTATTTTATTTCAATTGATATAATAAATTCAATCACGGGACATGATTAAAATATTTTACCCAAAATTAAAAGTATTAATTGCAACTATTATCTAAAAGAACAGAAAAATAACTTATCCCATGTAGTTTGGTAATGACGAGCTTTTAAGTGCAAATTAGTATAAATATTAACGTAACATGGTTTTACCGTCTATGTTACAGTCTATTATATCGGAAAATTGGCCCCTTGTTTTGTAATATGTAAAAAATTGCATTGTATTGTATTGTATACAATAACCGAAAAATGGTCACAGTGCAAAGAAGCTGTACGTTGTACTTAAAAACTCATAATTTTCAAATTACATGTGATAAATTATTTTTGCTTTTTTCATGATAGTTACAATCAATATGATAACACTATCCACTCGCCAATTACGAGATTTATATGAATTTTGCCACCGGAGCGACCGCATCCGAGTCGAGAGGGTTAAATTATTTAAAGTAAAGAAGAAGAGAACATCCCATATCCGCCAACGTTGAATATAATTGAATTTTTTAACATGAATAAAAAAAACAAGAAAAATATGAGGCCATTATATGTATAAACTATGGATTATTTGTTCAATATTCAACTTATTCCTGAAATGTTTATTTGCCGCCAAATAATCGACATAAATAACTAGTGTACATTTTGCCACTGTATGTGTGTTATCATTTCCCATGTTAACAAATTCAAACTAGGAAAAATTTTGCTAAAATAAACATATATATGCTGTGAAATACAAATAGAATTTGTACAGTAAATCGATATGTATAATTTACGATTACGTAAAACTATAATTTTTTATATTTCGATCTTAGATAATGAACAAAAAAATTAATAATATTTATTTAAATTTAGATTTAAACAACAAGAAACACATCTATGAGAATCTCGTCTCGTACCATGGTTTAATGGATGGAAATGTTTGTTAATACTTCTGTTAATTCGTGAAAGATGCTATTGTTATATTAATATATTATTCAAATATTAAGTAAACTTAACAAGCAATTGTTATAATTGTATATATGTGCATATATTGCATTTAACTATATGTAAAAGTGTTAAATATTTTATAGCTCCTTCATGTTGCTTCGCCACCGAAAAAAGCTAAATTTAAGTTGCATTGACCAATGATTAAGATATAATCCACGAAAATTGAACCAAAATTGAGCTTTATCTATATTTGATTATTATTACAAAATGTTTAAATCTAATTTGTGTACAGAATATATTTTATGTCGTTATATACGCTAAATAAATCTATTAAATATTACGATGTATAATTATTTGGAAATTACTTTATTATACAGATTAAATTAATTTTTTTTATTGACTTTAGTGTTAAATTAATATTTTTTTTTTCATTATTTTTTTAAAAATTCTGTGTTTATTTTAAACGTTGTATTTAGTATTTTAGCAAGAAATATATGAAATAGAATGACGATAATTGGATCACTTGTCGTAAGCCTCTAATATTTTAAATATTTGCCGTATTATAATTTCAGTAGACAATTTATAATCTAGCTAGTGGTGTATGGCATCGAGCCTCAAGGCAAATTGCTGGAACTTCCCGTATCGTAACGAAATGTTCAAGGAATATTAAATATTTTAAAATAGATTATTATAAATACTGTGACCAACACTGTCTAATATTTATAAAAATTATATAAACTGAATTGCAAAGTTAAAACTATTTATATAAAATATATAAGTGAGCTTTAGAACTTTAGCCAAATAAAAATCTGAATTATTTTTGATATAACAAAAACTAAAAAAAATTGAAAAGCAATTTTTCGTCAAAACAAGCAGAAAGTTTTTTGAATCATTTAAATCGGATGTTTAGTTTTTTCAAAAACTGCCATTTTTTGTACATTTAGCTCTGTATCTTCGAAATGGCTGAACTTGCCTTTTCCAAAAACTAATCACTTCTCCCAATCATTACAAATTGAATGTTTTTTGAAGAAAATTCTTCAATTATGTTAGTTTAAGAGTTTGTTACATTGCAATTTGGACAAAGGCAGTAATGTATTATGTGACTGTAGTTAGAAATGTGAAAGTTTAGCATAAAATATATTTTAAGGAAGATATATGATTTTTTCGGGAAAAAATTATTTTGAACATGTTTTACTGACAATAGAAAAAGAACCTGTGCGTGCTCATAATGTCTAATTTTATAAGTATATATTGTTTTGTTGGTCGAATCATCGCATTTGAATTTGGCGCTTAATTTTACTTCAATTTCTATCCGCAGCGTCACTTTGGCGTTTTTTTGATCATTTTGCATGCATGGCAGCGTCGGCTCGTTATTTTAGTGGCGGCTACAAATTGGAACAGATCAATTAAAATTATGTGAGTACTTACTTTAATTCAATTCTGTAATAATTATTAGATTGTGTAAGAGTAACGAGATACGTGAACGAGGTATCAGGTATTTTTCTTAATTTACTTTTCCGAATTTACAATGTCTTGTGGTCAGAGGTTACGCGTGCACTATAATCTTATTGCATCGGTCTTAATTATCATTAGATAATCGCCGTTTTATATTTAACAGCTATTGTACGTTATTTTCTTGAGGACTATATCAATATTTTTATTATATTTTTTTAATTTTTATGTCAAAGCGTGTGCACGTGCCTATTGTGCAATTGCTATGAACCATGATTTTATATGTATTCATCAAACATTTTAGACAAAGACAGACCTCGTGTAAAGTAATCTTTGTGCATCGGTCTCCATAATAACTATGGCATTTTTTAAAAAACTGCATATTTTGGCTTGATTGAAAATAATGAATTCTTTTTATTTTACATCCAATTATATATATATATATATATATATATATATATATAATATAAAATAATTTATTTAATTTCATATAATTAAAACTATCAATTATATTGAGTTTGAGTTTGAATATTAGGGCCATTTTGAATGTTCGCGCGTTACGGTTGAGTGACATAGGTTAACTTCACGGCAAACTTGTCTCCAGCACTTTTTAGCGCGGGAATTAATGTCATGTAGCCTGTCAACTGTCAACTGTCATGTAGTATGTAAAAAATTAGTAATAATCCCTTATTAATTCTGCCGTCAAAGGATCGACATCTCTTGTAAATATATATGTAATATCCCGACGAATTAAACTGATTATTGATAAGTATATGTGTGTTAATTATTATATGGTATATTTATTTTAAGCTTGAAACATTGTGGTTAATGTAAACAATTGCGTAATTGTTTCTAGCTGATATTTATCAGTTATATATTATTATTATTATTATTAATAATAAGCATTTTCTTAATTTGCAGAACAACTTACCCGTCCAGGACATTATACAATAGATAATTCATAAGCTGGTCGGCTAAATCTGAGATAAGTATACTTATACTAGTTTTTGTAATCCCGATATGAATGAATTTGATAGTTATATATCTATTATTAGTATTATACTATTTTGCAGATTTTCACAGAAGCCGAGTACATTGAATTGCTTCTCATTTGTATTAAGAGGACTATTGGAATCCTTAGTGCTCATCAGAAATTTGAAGTTAAGGTAATTATACTATTATTTAATAGTTAATAGTCAATTATTACACTTATTTCACATATTTCGTAAATATATATATTATTTAAAGAAATTGGAAGCTTGATTATTATTTTACATTATATTATATTTAATACATTTATTCACAGAACCTGTGTCTCTGCAGCACATTGCGCTATGGGCAATTTATATGCATTTGGATTGAGTCTCGGGTATATATCTGTGAATAAAAATTAATTTGATTTATTATATTGATTCATGAGAATAATTATTTCTTTCAGATGTTTGTCCAATTGGAGTCATGTTAATACTGCAAACCTCGTTGGAGTCTCGCGAACTTTACATTTTAGTACTAATTTTTGTTCAAAGTTTAATGTTTGTTGTAATAGCGTTGTTAGTTCAGTGTCAACAACAGTTTTAGTTCTGTCGTGACCGAATGTCTAATCCTGCATAATTGTAGAGGTATGTTAATTAAATAAATTATTTTACTTATTTATTTGAGCCTTGTGGCCAAGAATTCAACACTTTTGTTCGAATATATGTTTATAATGGATATTTTTTTGTGATTTGAAGATTTATTCAAATTGAAAATAGATTTGTAGCTGAAGAATAGTTGATTATGAATAGATCTTTTTTTTAAGTATGTTTTAACATTTGTAGATTCTATTATTCCGAAAATACTTCATCAAGGATAGATTTTTTTATTCGAATAGTTATAGATGAATTGTTATTTAAGTTTTAAGTTTTATTGTTAATATTAATATTGATAATAAGCATTTTTTTAATTTACAGAACATCTTATCCGTCCAGGACATTATACAATAGATAATTCATAAGCTGGTCGGCTAAATCTGAGATAAGTATACTTATACTAGTTTTTGTAATCTCAATATGAATGAATTTAATAGTTATATATCTATTATTAGTATTATACTATTTTGCAGATTTTCACAGAAGCCGAGTACATTGAATTGCTTCTCATTTGTATTAAGAGGACTATTGGAATCCTTAGTGCTCATCAGAAATTTGAAGTTAAGGTAATTATACTATTATTTTGTCAATTATTTCACATATTTCGTAAATATATATATTATTTAAAGAAATTGGAAGCTTGATTATTATTTTACATTATATTATATTTAATACATTTATTCACAGAACCTGTGTCTTCAGCACATCGCGCTATAGGCAATTTATATGCATTTGGATTGAGTCTAGGGTATGTATTTGTGAATAAAAATTAATTTGGTTTATTATATTGATTTTCAATAATAATTATTTCTTTCAGATGTTTGTCCAATTGGCGTCATGTTACTAGGTACTATAAACCTCATTGGAGTTTCGTTGGAGATTTTACCAGAAGCCGAGTACGTTAAATTGTTACTCATTTGTACTAAGAAGACTATTGGAATCCTTAGTGCTCATCAGAAATTTGAAGTTAAGGTAATTATACTATTTTTTTGTCGTATGGTTTCATTTGGTTGTAGTTAATAGAATCATATAGATCTTGAAATTATTACTTATTTCACAGATTTTGTAAATATGTATTATTTAAAGATTATTATTTTACATTATATTATATTTAGTACATTTATTTACAGAACCTGTCTCTTCAGCACATTGCACTACGGGGCAATTTATATGCATTTGGATTGAGTTTTGGGTGTGTATCTGTGAATAAAATTTAATTTGATTTATTATATTGATTCATGATAATAATTATTTCTTTCAGATGTTTGTCCAATTGGCGTCATATTAATAGGCACTATAAACCTCATTGGAGTCTTGTTGGAGATTTTACCAGAAGCCGAGTACATTGAATTGTTACTCATTTGTATTAAGAAGACTATTGGAATCCTTAGTGCTTATCAGACATTTGAAGTTAAGGTAATTATACTATTATTTTGTCGTATGGTTTCATTTGGTTGTAATTAATAGAATCATATAGATCTTGAAATTATTACTTATTTCACAGATTTTGTAAATATGTATTATTTAAAGATTATTATTTTACATTATATTATAGTTAGTGCATTTATTCACAGAACCTGTGTTTCTTCAGCACATTGTGCTACGGGCAATTTATATGCATTTGGATTGAGTCTAGGGTATGTATTTGTGAATAAAAATTAATTTGGTTTATTATATTGATTTATAATAATTATTATTTCTTTCAGATGTTTGTCCAATTGGCGTCATATTAATAGGTACTATAAACCTTGTTGGAGTCTCATTGGAGATTTTACCAGAATCCGAATACATTAAATTGTTACTCATTTGTATTAAGAAGACTATTGGAATCCTTAGTGCTTATTAGAAATTTGAAGTTCAGGTAATTATACTTATAACTTGCATACTTATAATCGTATTCACATGAGTATATAATTATAAATGATTAATATATTTTTACATGTTGCTGCTACAGGTCGAAATGTATTTAACCAATTTTATATGGAACTGAGAACTACATCTATTTATTACTTATGGAGACAATAATAATGGCTACCCCGATGACAGAGACGGAATAACAATAGTAAGTAATGAGATATTTCATAGGAAACATACATCTTATAATTTTTGTAAATTTGGAACTTGCGAATAATGAATATCTAGTGTAGCCGGTGTAAATTTTATTTACCCAATATGTTCTTGAATTTATATACATAATGCCATCAAAAAGTCAACTGTTGAAAATAATTACATTGAAATCGAATATCTGAGAATAAATAATATGATTTGACTTATAAAATTATGTTCCTTTTGATATAGAATAAATGTTCTTATTAAATTTTTCAGTTTTTGGAGCTGGAATTGATCGAGCTGCTCAAATGTTGAACTTGGAATTAATTGGTGAAATAGTAAACACATGAAAGAAGTATATTGCTTGAAGTTTATTTTGTTAATGTAATTAAAATATTTCGAAAGTAGTGAAAAGTGTAAAAGTTTTGTGTGCAATGTGATTTATGTGTGAGGTGATTTATGTGTGAAGTGATTTTTGTGATACATCCCGAAGGAGTTTTTATTATCGGAGTATGAATGCTGACTTCCAGCTAATCAAGAATGATTGTAAGGCGATATGGTAAGTGATATTCGTTTAAATGGCATGCTCATATACAGTACGATCACACCAAAGTCGCGGAAATATGATTGATATCGAGCAATGAAACTAATAATACATACTTATTTCAATTTAATCATGTTTACGCTATTGCTAATAACGTTGGCATATTCCATTACTTGTAAATGACTCGTAATTTCTCTGAGTTTTCAGACTTTTATAAAGTTAGTTTCATACAAATTAGTTTTCTTGTATGAATTCAAGGAATTCACAATTTAGCCTTTTATTTTGATACTTTCTTGCAAATTAATTTGTTTTTGTTAGTTTAGTTGAGGAATTCACGATTTAGCCTCTTTTATTTTGATATACTTTTTTATTTAATTAGTTTAATTAAAGAATTCGCCATTTAGCCTCTTTTATTTTGATACTTTCTTGCAAATTAATTTGTTTTTATAAGTTTAGTTAAGGAATTCGCCATTTAGCCTCTTTTATTTTGATACTTTTTTGCAAATTAATTTGTTTTTTGTTAGTTTAGTTAAGGAATTGGCGATTTAGCCTCTTTTATTTTGATACTTTCTTGCAAATTAATTTGTTTTTGTTAGTTTAGTTGAGGAATTCACGATTTGACCTCTTTTATTTTGATATACTTTTTTATTTAATTAGTTTAATTAAAGAATTCGCCAGTTAGCCTCTTTTATTTAGATACTTTCTTGCAAATTAACTTGTTTTTTTTAGTTTAGTTAAGGAATTCGCGATTTAGCCTCTTTTATTTTAAAACTTTCTTGCAAATTAACTTGTTTTTATTAGTTTAGTTAAAAAATTCGTGATTTAGCCTCTTTTATTTTAAAACTTTCTTGCAAATTAACTTGTTTTTATTAGTTTAGTTAAGGAATTCGCGATTTAGCCTCTTTTATTTTGATACTTTCTTGCAAATTAATTTGTTTTTATTAGTTTAGTTAAGGAATTCGCCATTTAGTCTCTTTTATTTTGATACTTTCTTGCAAATTAGTTATTTCATGTTAGTTTAGTTAAGAAATTCGCGATTTAGCCCCTTTTATTTTGATACTTTATTGCAAATTAATTTTTTTTGTTAGTTTAGCTAAGAAATTTGCGATTTAGCCTCTTTTATTTTGATACTTTATTGCAAATTAATTTTTTTTGTTAGTTTAGTTAAAGAATTCGCGATCTAGTCTTTTATTTTGATACTTTCTTGCAAATTGGTTATTTTTATGAATTAGTTCATTTTTAAATATCTTGACGCTTTTTCTATTTTTTCAGTATTTATTTCACAATAATATTAGTGAATAATTAAGGAATTCGGGATTTAGTTCGATCCATATAGTTATTTCAGAATAATTGTTTAGTTTGATGTAATAAATTTGAATCGTATTTACATTGAAAATTTTATTTATAATGTTTTTATGTCGTTTTCTGTGTATGCGTGAAGAATACAATATTTTAAATAGTTGCGGTTCTACAAAAGGACAAAACCAATTTTTGCATGACCTGTGTGATCTTACTGTACATATAACTAATTATGAATGCATTTTTTTCAGAAATATTAAAATAACTGTTTAAAATAAGTGTGATGTGCATAAGTGCCTTTAGTTTGGTGAACATATTAAAAATATAAAATTTAAAAAAAAGTGGTTCGAGTTGTAGCAGCGATGCCGAATTGGGTCAATTGGCCCCAGGTAGGACTATTGCGTTTGTAGGTTTTTTATGTAATGTTTTTTTGTCATTACCTTCATATTAGATTAAAATGTTTACCAACTTGTTTCTATGTCATTTAAATTTTTATTAGAAAAAAATCATTTATTAGATTAATGTTTTTTTTTACATAATGCCATTTTTTACATAAACAATCCTACAACGATTCGCAATAGTTTTGAATTACTTTGCATGCATGTTTTTCACAACATACATTAAAAATTAGATTGAATGACTTATTTACTTTGATCGTTTAATTTGATTCGATTTGACTAGTAAGTTAGATTTGTTTTGTTTCCTTGTATGTCGAGATTTTGTTCTCGTGCTTTATTTTTGAGACTTATTATGATTCGTAGATTTGTTTAAAGAATGAATATTTCTTTATCGTTGGAAGGTTTCAGTCCTACAATATTATTAGTTCTTATAAGGTTTTCTTAAATAGTTTTCATAAATAGTTGCTTTGTTTAGATTGAACATTGTTTTAATTCTTCGACGATTTTGCTATGATGGCGTTGTTAGTTCTTAAAGAGCTTCTTCAATCCGTCGATTTCTATAGCCATTAAAGGATTTTGGTCTCGATTTAATTGATTTTTCAAGAACTTTAACCGTACTTTGACTGAAGATTCGTACCCTGTTTTAATTCTTCGATGGTGTTGGTTGTTAGTTGTTAAAGAGCTTCAATTCGTCGATTTCTATATTCATTGGAGGATTTAGGTCGATTTTATTCGTTCTTTCTTAATTGCACCGTCGTTTGTTCTTGTATCCTTAAATTTGTTTCTTTTTGATAAATTTGCTTTTTATTAGTTCGACGTAAATTTTGTTTAGGTGAATTAGTTTGTTTGAGTTGACTAATAATAATTTGTGGATAGTTGTTTGAAAAAAAAATTGAGGGAAAATAATTCTGGGAAAGAAAATTTTAAAGATAAAAATTTATCTATTACATATCCAAAGACACCTTGCTTTCTACCGTATATATTATATTCAAATCTACAAATTTTTTATAAAAAAAAATATGTCTATTGCTCTTTACTGTATATATTATATTCTTCAAATCAAATTTTTTAAGTATATCGCTTCTTTGGAAGCATCTGATATTGCCATGTACTCGGCTTCTGTACTTGACAATGCTAGTTTTCTGTTTAGAGCTTTCCCAAGATATAATACTATTGGAGAGTTTGAAACAAAAACCTGTGTATGATTTTCTATCAACGTCGTCACTTGCCCAGTCTGCATCAGTATATCCTACCAAATTTAAATTTTAAGCCATATTTTTAGTGTCCCGCAAATACTTTAGCACCCTCTTTGCACTTTTAAAGTGACTGCTATCATAGCAATTGTTAAATTGGCTAAGATAATTCAGACTATAAGCAATATCAGGTCTTGTCATAGCATCTAAATAGATTAGACTTCCAATGAGTTGTTGATAGGGAAACCCATGTCGAATTTTATCTGGAGACAATTTCAAATCACTTTCTATCGCAAGTTGTTACATGCATATATGACATGATCATCAAACGTTTTCTTTCTTGTTTTTTTTAGACCTTTGTATTTCTATAACACTTTGTCCATAATCACTGCCAGCGTTTTGATTTTCATTTTTCTTACAAGCTACATTTCATTAACCCCCACTGAAACACTGTTCTCTACTGGTTAAATTGAGTTTTTGTTAGACACTCTTGAATATTTTCCATAATCTATAACAGTGATTTCCATCCTTCTGAATGTCTGTCTGAATGTCTGTCTGAATGTCTGTCTGAATGTCTGTCTGAATGTCTGTCTGAATGTCTGTCTGAATGTCTGTCTGAATGTCTGAATGTCTGAATGTCTGGCTGAATGTCTGAATGTCTGAATGTCTGAATGTCTGTCTGAATGTCTGTCTGAATGTCTGAATGTCTGTCTGAATGTCTGAATGTCTGAATGTCTGTCTGAATGTCTGAATGTCTGTCTGAATGTCTGAATGTCTGTCTGAATGTCTGAATGTCTGTCTGAATGTTTGAATGTCTGTCTGAATGTTTGAATGTCTGTCTGAATGTTTGAATGTCTGTCTGAATGTTTGAATGTCTGTCTGAATGTTTGAATGTCTGTCTGAATGTCTGAATGTCTGTCTGAATGTTTGAATGTCTGTCTGAATGTCTGAATGTCTGTCTGAATGTCTGTCTGAATGTCTGTCTGAATGTCTGTCTGAATGTCTGTCTGAATGTCTGTCTGAATGTCTGTCTGAATGTCTGTCTGAATGTCTGAATGTCTGTCTGAATGTCTGTCTGAATGTCTGTCTGAATGTCTGTCTGAATGTCTGTCTGAATGTCTGTCTGAATGTCTGTCTGAATGTCTGTCCGAATGTCTGTCCGAATGTCTGTCCGAATGTCTGTCCGAATGTCTGTCCGAATGTCTGTCCGAATGTCTGTCCGAATGTCTGTCCGAATGTCTGTCCGAATGTCTGTCCGAATGTCTGTCCGAATGTCTGAATGTCTGGCTGAATGTCTGGATGTCTGGATGTCTGGATGTCTGTCTGAATGTCTTAATGTCTTAATGTCTGTCTGAATGTCTTAATGTCTTAATGTCTGTCTGAATGTCTTAATGTCTTAATGTCTGAATATCTGAATAAATAAAATATAATAATAAAATAGTTACACAACTGCTTGAGATACCACATTCCAGGAGGTTCAAGCGTAAATCACCATTGGATAATATCCTAATCTAGCAAATTGTTTAACGGAACAATTTTTATATTTTTATAGTAAATCATCAAAATATGTTAGTTAATTTAATGTTTTTTTTGTAGTATTATTATCTTATTTTATTTACTTATATATATTATATATTATTATTATTATTATTAACAATTCTTATGTTATTATCTTTATTTATTCTTATTTAGTTAATTTTTTTTAGTTTATATACATAAGCAAAGCAACTCATAGAATGTAATTACTGTTCTGATTGCTGTATAACAATAAATGAATTAAAAAAATTTTTTTTTTCACAACATACATTTAAAATTCGATTGAATGATTTATTTACTTTGATTTTGATTAATTTGATTTGATTTGACTAGTTAGCTAGATTTGTTGTTTCCTTGTATGTCGAGATTTTGTTTTCGTGCTTTATTTCTGAGATTGTCTGTCTGAATGTCTGAATGTCTGTCTGAATGTCTGAAGGTCTGTCTGAATGTCTGTCTGAATGTCTGTCTGAATGTTTGAATGTCTGTCTGAATGTTTGAATGTCTGTCTGAATGTCTGAATGTCTGAATGTCTGTCTGAATGTCTGAATGTCTGAATGTCTGTCTGAATGTCTGAATG